AGAGAAAGCTGCTCACAAAGAAGTGAGGAAAAAACTTGAAGAACAAGTTCAAGTACTTAAGAAGCGAAACTTGCAAAGATCTTGAGTAGGGGATTATTTTGTGAGATTAGGCTGGTCCTGGTTTCATAGGGTAGTTCTTACAGATGTGAAGGGGAACAAAAAAGATGATTTATTACGTTTTGCTTTAAAAAAGCTTCCAATCAAATATTATATAATTTTTTTAATGAGCAAGTGGCAATTTAAGTTTGCTGAATGAAAAAACAGTTAAATAGAGTGATGAAGTGAGGGAGGAAGGAGATGATCTGATGAAATGTTCTGCACTAACTCACCTATGATGGATTTAGAGGAGCTGCTGGAATAACCGTTGCGGACAGGTGGAGGTGGGGGAGGTGGTCCAGCTGGGGTCCGGGAGGATGAGGAGGAAGATGAGATGGAGGAAGATGAGATGGAGGGAGGAGGAGGTGGTTTCCCCACCCGGCTGGGGGGCTCTGAGCTGTGGCCCCGGTATGGAGGAGGAGGAGGAGCATCTCGTCCACCGTTACGAGAACTTGGAGGGGGCACCTGGGGAGCTGGGTGGACAACACACACACAAGTCAGTTTTTAAATAGCAGAAAAGTGATTTTAGCATGGATTCACTCCTCTGTAGGTGGCTGAAACTTGATCATTTTCAGCTGGATTATAATTTTAAACCTTTAAAATGTATAAATCACAATCCAAACGCAAACCGTTTATCATTGTTTTCTATTTCTCCCAGATGTTGGGTAATGCTGTACTTTATGTTAATTTAAGGTTTTCTAGACAAAATGTGTGTCCTGTGAATTGTGTGTAATAAAAGTACACAAACAAAAAAGGTTAAGGAGCCATAATGTGGCATAGAAAAAGATAAACTTTGAATAATTTTTCAGTTAAAATTTATTTGTTTAAACCCTTTTGTCCAACAACCTGAAATATATTTTTGGTAGATTTCCAGCAGCAGAAAGAAAAAAGTTATTTGATAAAAATGTTTTTTAAACAGTTTTATGTTCTTTTTAACATCAAAGTTTTTATTATGAACACAGTCACTTAATCAATACGACCAGAAAACTACACCATTAATTTTAAGTGCTTTGAAACAAATCTAAAACAGCCCAAATTAGAATATGAATTAATAATTGGAGCTGTTTAAAGCATTAAAAAGCAGGAAGACTAATAATTGTTGAAGGTCTGAAGTTTTTTTTTTTTTTTTTTTTCTTCAGAACTTCTGAGAGCAAACATCAATTTGGTTGTTTGGCAACAACAGAAGAAAGGAAGTTGTAAACTTGTAAGATCATATGAGCAAAATGCAGTTTGATATCATATGAAGGATCTAAAACACTGTCATCTATCATTTATGACACTACAAAAAAAAGAGAAGTTTAAAAACTTCACTACACACAGCTGTAAATGGGAATTAAGCACAAACATGATAAGGGCTCAAAAGAGTCGTGGAAAGACATCATGACAGTTTCTGGGTGTAAAACAATTTTACTAAATGGGTAACCGCTCATCCACACCAAGATTATTTTCAGATTTTAGCCAAACCAGTCTGAGTCTGTATGTTACAAATTTGAGTGTAAAAACTAACAAGTCCAAGCAGCAGATCTAAAGGCTATATATGTGTTTCCATTGCAAATGTGCGCAAAACTTTGTTGCTACTCTGTTGTAAGAAATACGTGTTTAATATCGGCTGAAGTCAGATGAAAACACAAGTGTTAAATAAATTGATCTGTGATAGGAAYGAGGTCATACAACACCAGAATTCTGGATCTGAGTGAGGTTTATTTGTCACCGGGCTGACRAGGAAAACCACACTGAATGAAAAACAGGAAGTGCATGTTTTTATACACGATTCTTCAATGCCTGAGTTCGCCCCCTACTGACCTACGGCTGAATCACAGGCATTCAGACAAAGACCTCAATCTAATGGTTTAAAACAGTTCACTTATGTGTTGTTATAATTCGGACATGTATCTACTCTAATTCAATTAACACATAATAGATCAAACATTATACAAGTATTAAAATAAGGAAACCTAATACTCTGGTGTTGTTTTCTAACATCAGTACTAATCTATGAATAACTATAAATTTCTTCACTGTTCATGTAAAAAAAAACACAGTTTCGCAACTGCAGTGTTTCCATTAAGTAAGAAATGCTATTAAAGTCGTGTGAATATGTTTGTTCTCTCACGATAGACATTACAAACATGGCAACAATGGATATAAACACAAATCATATTGCTACCGCAACGCTAGCTCTCATCATCAACCATCAGAGGAGACATCGGCGTCTTATCGAGGCTTTCGAGTGACAGGACCCTTATACTTGGGAGCGGCTACGTATGCTGCGTTTTTGGGAAAGTGTAGTCGGTGAGTTTAATACTTTCTTTTACTACTTTGGTGATTTCACTACTACTTTTACTTCCTGTTTTATTCTGCTTCATCGTCTTTTTCGCCAGTAGAAACAGCCGGTTCTTGATCATGTGACTCCTGTGATGCGAAAAAAGTGTTTCCATTGCAGATTTGCGAAATACACCAATTTTGATATGGCCGAAAAACCACCTCATCCTAGAACAAAACCATTTAGTCGAAAAACATTATTTTTTTCGAAATTGACAAKTTTCCATTGAGCAATTTTTTTTCAAAACTCTAATTTGCACATTTTCATGGTCAATGGAAAYGCAGCTACTGAGCTGCAACTCTTTGAGAGCAGATTGGGACTCAAAATTGCGAGAATTGCCATGTTTTGCCTATCCAGATTTTAAAAATCATGGCTAATTGTAATGTACATGGCTTGCTAAAAAGCATTCTAGTTGTTAATAGGGACGCAAACAATTAATCGACTTACAATTCATTGTCAAATAATGGTTAATTAGATTAAAATTCCTTCTAATTCGATTAATTGATAGTCAGTTTAAACATTATTTCAGTGTAGTTTGGCCACCATCCAGAAGAGGGCGCAGCTCCTATCAGCTTGACCTTACACTACCTTGGCCCTGTTTGCATAGAGCAGAGAGCCATCTCAATGTGAGCGGGATCATAATATTAAACGCACAAATCTTATTTGGTTTTATAGTAATAATGGACTACACCAAACTCTAAAAAGCACAGAAAGCGGTACCGCTTAAGACGAGAGCAGGACGACAGAAAGCAGTAAGTTAATTGTAGCTAACGTTAGTTTATTGTTGTTGAGTTAAACTCGTGGAAAAAACAAAAATATGCTACAAATGATTCACGTAAAGTTACTCTCAGTGTGTCGTAACGCAGCCAGTCAACCAATCAATAAACAGTAGCTGACGTCAAACCAGATGGTGTTCAGTGGTCAGTAGCTACTCTTGTTTGTATTCTCACCCCTCTCAGGGATATTTTATTATGTTCATAGTTTGTTTATGAGGTAATCTTTAGCTTAAAATGTTATCCTGTGTTTAAATGATAGTTTTACATCTCTCTGTTCTTAGTGGATTAAGTCTTTTACATATTATTTTCTTTTTACCCCCAGCTAATAACCTAACAGAGTATTATTCTGTTTTTTTTATACTTTAGAAATTTGTCCAAGTTTAATAATGTGTGAGAAATCTACAATTTTCTGTTTATTCAGTGTTTAAAACAGCTGGCACATTAAATTATATAAAATACTGTACTTTTTTATTTAGTGTAAAACATTAGCCCTTGATTCAAGAGAAATGTCATGTTTTTAAGAAAATGGTCACTTTTCAATTGTTAGTCAAATCGACAAGATCTTTTAGATTAATTCATTAATTGATAACTTACATCCGTAGTTGTTACACAACATTTTGTTGCCCACCTTGGCTTACTTTGTACACACCTTCTGCTAATGTGTGTGCGTTTGTCTGTAGTGTCGGCCAATTTAAGATGGCCACCAAAGGTAATGAACAATGGTCAACAGAAAAATGGTTACAAAGTCATCAGTTTTACTGACAGAGCTAAATGTGTGTCATAGTAGCTAAAGGTTATAAGGTTTAACTAAACTGGTTTTAACTTGGTCTCTGCTCAGCACAAAATTATTTTAGTTTCCAATGAAATCAGGGTTCCTAAAGTTTAAGGCGAGTTAAATTTAAGACTTTTTAAGACTTTTTAATGCCAAGTGAAGTTTAAATTTAAGACCAATTTCATAATAAACACAAATGACAAAATAAATAAATAATTAACTAAAAAAAAACTGTGGCAGAAATTCATGAATCCAAGTATTTTTGGTTTAAGTATGCAAATATTACTAACAGACCAATTGTTTTAGTCATATTTAACTGCTTTTTCATCAAATATAGCAAAAACATTCTTAGCAGTCAGTTTTATACTTAATTTAATTTCTGGAAATCTTCTAACAACTTAAAATTTGGAGTTTTAGGATCCACAATGGGGTCTTAATCCCAAATTGCTGTAGATGAAACCTTAAAATGCCTGTGACATCAAAAAAAAAATTTAAGAGGTGTGAATGCATTTTTGGAAAGACATTAACATATTACAAAACACATTTTACGTTGCAGGTTGAGATAATTGCATGTGAAGTGATGTCAAAGGGGAATGTCGGCTCGTGATTATTTAATAAATAAATAAATGTTACCAATTATTTTAATATTTGAGAGGCATTAAAGTCATCCTATTTACAATGTGTTAACATTTTTAAGACTTCTGAAAGATTGATTTAAGACATTTTAAGGCTAATTAAGGCCTTATTTTTGGATTGATGAATTCAATGCCTTTTAAGACTTTTTAAGGATCTGCAGGAACCCTGGAAAGGCGAAGRGTATTGCATCAAGGAATGTTTAGCCTCTATTACTTATCAGTGGTGTTTTTTGAATGTGTTTTCTGTCTGAGGAAAGTTCCCATGCAAACATCAAACTACAGCCTAGTGAGACAAGTTGGAGATGAGATACTGGCTTAAACTGCTGCTGTACAACTGAATAGTAAATGCTAAAAAATATAGGGAATAAGTGAGCATTTACTCACAAGATGTGCAGATTTAACTGCATTAATTCACATGCCAATGTCCTAAGACTGTAAACGACTTGAATCAGTTCTTACAAGGGTTATCATTTTAGAGCTCAGACAAGAAATTGTCCATAGACAGATTCATGGTACTATACTACATCTCATCTTTGGACAAGTGTATAAAAAGGTAGCAGACGTTTAAGTTCATAAATCCTTCAAATCTAGGTCCTTCTTTCCTGCACTTAGTGAAATGCTGGAATAGTCCACAAAGCTTCAGGAATGCAGAGAAACCAAGAGACCTTGTGGAGAATCACTTAGTTGTCGGAGCCTCAACTAACAAGTGCCTTCCTGTTTGGTGTGTTCACTCTGAATTCAAGGCATGAATATGTTTCAAGGGAGCCATGAATTCACTCAAAGGAGGGTTAATCATTTGAAGCATGCAGGACAGAAACTATGATGGCAAGCTGGGGCAATGCGCACATGTAGGAATTCAGTATTTCTTTTCTTCGTGGCATTGCTTATGCTGAAAGACTCGGACGTTGCATTTCGCTTCAACTATTCGCTTCCAGAATCCAACTGTTGTAAAAAGCAAACATTTATA